GGGGTTTGAGGTGTTTCTTATGTACTTTAATAGTTAAAGGACTTCATATGACTCTCCCAGCTCATTAAATCTAGCTAAATTATTAAATACAGAGATGATGGACTCTCTTCCCATGGTCTGACTTCTCTTCTGGGGCCACATAAGGGCCCACTAGTTAGAGTCTCTTCTTGTTGTCAATATTGCAGCAAAAAAGAAACATCTGTTATTATCTATAGGTCTTTCACATGAATAGCCTAACTGATTGGTGTGCTGTGGCCTGTGTTGTCTTCATGGAACCACTTTAATTGGCACAGTCAAGAAGTACTGTTATTAGTCTTGTTCCTTATTTGATGGAGGCTCTATTTCTGCTTCCCCGAATCTCTTTGCATCTCCCAGAAGACCAGATCTTGGGCTGGTTCCCTGTCCTGCTGTGCTTATACATCATGGACTCAACATTGAAGATGAGATCTCCAACTCCTGAAGAACTGTCTCTTATTGTGAAAACTTATCTTCTGATATAGTATAGATCTTGTGAGCTTGAATATCAAAACATTTTTCTAGAGAATCTACATCTGTTCCAAAATAGTTTTGCCTGGGTCATCTTGACAAAATTTGCCCTCGCTTGGAAAAGGAAAAGGCATGAAAAATAACCTCTTTCACAGTTAGATAGTCAAAGTGACAAGAACATACTATGTGCTAAGCTAGGACTAACTGCTAGCCTTCTCAAAAGGATAAGACTAAACATGGACTGATCTTGCTTCCAGTTAGGCAAGAGGAACCTGTGCAGCCTATATCTGTGTTAACGAGTTGCATCGCAAACCAGGAGTGGATCTGTAAAGCAGTAAAAAAAAAAAAAAAAAGGAGGTGCTGAGGGCTCAGCATCCTTGCTATGTGCAATTTAGGATGTGGGGGGTGTGTGAGGGAGTTCAGCCTGCGTCTAGTCTGATCCTGGAGTGAGCACCAGTGCCACTGCAGGAACATAGAAGGTTGGAGCTGAGTAGAAGGCTGGGACCCCACTAGTGGTCAGCCTTCCTTTTCAATTTCAGTTTTTTCCTTTCACTTTTTATATTACTCACTACTGGGAGACAGCTACATCTAGGATCCATAACAGCACTATTCTGCAACGCAGCCTTGAAAATGGTTTGTGCTGTGGGCAAACAGATGCTCTGTAGAAAGATGTGGAACAACCTTTGATCACATCCAATGAAAGTTCCAGTTTTGTTCTGTCTCAAAATAAGTAAGGATGCATGTTGCTTCAGGCCATTAGGCTGGTTGTAATAATTTCCTTTTGTGTCATTTCTCTGAAGTTCTGTGGATCACTAAAATGAGACATCTGAAAACCAATGCTCTGGATGCAATACTGTAGAGGAGAAATGTGGGCTAAACTGAGATAACCAAGTTTTAATTCCTGTCTACTTACAATGTATATTTTTTGTCAAAGTATCTTTTGTTTAACAGATGCACCAAGTTATGATTACTTGTTGGTATTGTATGCCAAAGACCATTACAACGTCAGTGGGACTGTCTTGTTCTGCTGTTCTTTTGAGGAGAAAAATTTCTTTAGAAAGGAGAGTTATTGGTGTAATTTGCTATGGTTAAAATATACACAGTGATACCACAGAATGTTAAAATAATCATAGAATCAACTGGGTTGGAAAACACCTCCGAGATCATCAAGTCCAATCCTTGATCCAACGCCACCATGGTTACTAGACCATGGCACTAAGTGCCGCATCCAGTCTCATCTTAGAAACCTTGAGGGACGGTGAATCCACCACTTCCCTGGGCAGCCCATTCCAATGCCTGATTACCCTCTCTGTAAAGAATTTCTTCCTAGTATCCAAACTAGACCTTCCCTGGCAGAGCTTAAGACCATGCCCTCTTGTCCTACTGCTGGTTGCCTGGGAGAAGAGACCAACCCCCACCTGGCTACAACCTCCTTTCAGGGAGTTGTAGAGAGTGATGAGGTCTCCCCTGAGCCTCCTCTTCTCCAGGCTGAACAACCTCAGCTCCCTCAGCTTCTCCTCATAGGACTTGTGTTCGACTCGCTTCACCAGCCTTGTTGCTCTTCTCTGGACCTGCTCCAGCACCTCAATATCCTTCCTGAACTGAGGGGCCCAGAACTGGACACAGTACTCCAGGTGTGGCCTCACCAGCGCTGAGTACAGGGAAGAATCACTTCCCTGGACCTGCTGGCCACACTCTTCCTGATCCAGGCCAGGATGCCACTGGCCTTCTTGGCCACCTGGGCACACTGCTGGCTCATGTTCAGCTTCCTGTCAATCCAAACTCCCAGGTCCCTTTCTGCCTGGCTGCTTTCCAGCCACTCTGTCCCCAGCCTGTAGCGCTGCATGGGGTTGTTGTGGCTAAAGTGGAGGATCCGGCACTTGGCCTTTTTGAACCTCATCCCACTGGAATCAGACCATCTCTCCAGCTTGTCCTGGTCCCTCTGCAGAGCCCTCCTGCCTTCCAGCAGATCGACACTCCTCCTCAACTTGGTGTCATCTGCAAATTTGCTTATGGTGGACTCAATCCCCTCATCCAGATCATCAATAAAGATATTAAATAGAACTGGGCCCTACACTGATCCCTGGGGGACACCACCAGTGACCGACCACCAACTGGATGCAGCACTGTTCACCACCACTCTCTGGGCCCGGCCCTCCGGCCAGTTCCTAACCCAGCACAGAGTGCCCCTGTCCAAGCCGTGGGCTGCCAGCTTTTCCAGGAGTATGCTGTGGGAGATGGTGTCGAAGGCTTTGCTGAAGTCCAGATAGACCACATCCACAGCTTTCTCCTCATCCACCAGGTGGGTCACTTGATCATAAAAGGAGATCAGGTTGGTCAGACAGGACCTGCCTCTCCTAAACCCGTGCTGGCTGGGTCTGATCCCTTATCCATCCTGTAGGTGCTATGTGATTGCACTTAGGATGATCTGCTCCATAACCTTGCCAGGCACTGAGGTCAGGCTGACAGGCCTGTTCTGGAACTGTCTGCCCTTCAGACAAACAGTGGTTAGCTGCTCTGTCGAGTTTTCCAAAGTGTCCCTGGATGAAATCATGTTGTGCCACGAGGAACAGTAATTCATAAATAAAATATTCGTTAGTGTTGTTCCCAGCATATACATAAATAAAACACTGTTGCTGTATGTTTGTTTTCGCTGGGACCCAGCAACAACAAAAAACTTCTGTGGTGATACTACTTTTTTCCACTCCAGTTTGAACCTGTGTAAGTAACCTTCTGAATACCATGCCAATGTATTTCTCATAGGTGTTTACACACATCATATAAGTTATTTTGTTTAGTTTTATTACCTGCAAGTATCTACCAACTTGTAAGAATATATAAAAGGCTGTAACATATTGGAACATTTGTCTAACTTTTAGAAACATCCTATTCCTGGCAGTGGTCAGACATCGCATAAAGGATACAGTGATGCTTCTTCCAGTGTACCCTCAACTCTTTCACCAGTGCAGTGCTTAGAAGCTTTAAGACCTATATGGTGTATCTATATAGTAGTACTTAATACTCTTACATGAATCTATAATAGCAATTTTTTCAAATTACCTGCATTTTTGGCTGCTATAGTACCCAGCAAGAAGAACTCTAGGCTTACACTACGCACTCTGGAAAATACTCGCTTTTTTAAAGTTCCTGATAATTTCATTGGCTACTTCCTAGTTTTTTCTCTTAGGTGACAGAATAAATAATACCCTCTGTTCATATTGTTTCTCCCTTTATAATTTTGTATTTATAACCCTGTTTATGTCTTCTGCTGCTGTTTACTTTCTTTTCTCTTAGATGTCCAAATTAATCCTCAAAACTGGGATTATCTTCAATGGTAGCCAGCAAACAGAAGTGGGGACTAATTTGTTTAAAAAAAAAAACATCACAGAAGGAGGACAGGGAGGACAAAGGCCATCTTGAATTAATGACATTATGGTACATGGAGGGTCATCACCAGGTGAAATTTCAGTTCACAGTGAAGGAAGGATCGCATCATAAAATGTAGATAAAATGGAATTTACTTTCTGAGACATACAAAATAAAAAAAAAAGACCATAAAGGGAAATTCATACACTGTAGGTACATGAATTCCCTAAGTTGTCAGAATCTTCATTTTTCTTTCCTTTATTACGCCTGCATGCGATTTAGCTGGCACCAGACACCTTGCAAAAGAAAGCTAAAATTCTGCTTACTGCCATTGAAAAAAAGATTATACTGAGAGAGTAGAGAAGTAGACCAGAGCAGAGGAAATGATTTTTTTGCATATTTCCTCTATTGTATAATATCTCCTATACGTCCCTTGTTTCATCATGAATAAAAGGGTGTTATTCAATCTACTGGACTACAGTGCTGTTTTGGCTCAGGAAGGAATGCTCCTATTGAAAACAGCACTCCAAAGAATATTTTCATCTATTGTACTGGTATTTCTAACTCTTACTTTGCAAAAGACAATCCCACACTATTTGGGATTGTTGCTTCTTTTCAAAATAGTTAAAAACATTTTGTCAATCTTTTTGTCAATAGAAAGGGTGTTACTAAGGCTGTGGGACCAAAAAAATTACCTATTTCTTTTATTTGCATAGTAGGGATATCTATGCCAAAAGCTTTTCCTCACCTGCATATACCATCACAGAATATTTATTAATTTTAAATAATTTGATCTTGATGCCTGCAGATAAAACCAGTTAAGGCAACAAGAAACTTTGATGAAGAGATGATTTGAACACAGTAGAAGACAGCAAAATTCAGAAGTAATGCTCTGCTGGTGCTGCCATTTCAAAATTGAAATAAACTGAAATAGTTTAGAGTGTGATGGAGTAAAAATACACTATTATCTTCTATGAAGTTGGTATGAGTTCTGTTTAGACCAGTGGTTGCTCTGTGCAAGAACATTGGATGACTGAGTTTCAGAACAAAGCATTAATTTTGCAAGGTATGTCCTCTCTTCAGAAGTTTTGCAATGAGATTTTAAGAGCTTTATTCTATCTACTGCTCAGTAATGAAAGCTTTGAAAGGGACAGTCTGATTGAAAATGCTGCCATTCCAAGGATATCTTCCTGCTTGTGGACCACTGAGAAAGAGAAAAGAAACAGCATCTGTCAGTCGATCTATATATTCAGGAGAGGGAACAGGAGAAGGGAAGGTACATTTATTTCCGGTTGTGGACATTGTTGAGAATCTTACTCATGCTTTATGTACATACATACATGTTTTGGCATCAGCAGTTGCAAAACTGGAGTGAAGGTAGAAAGCTTCTTGAGGAGCCATTTCAGACACTGAGAGCTAGGACCAAAGAGAAATGGAAACAGCAAAGTATAACTATTTCTAAATTGGGTTTCATGTCATAGAACTTCCTCAAATGTCCTTCTAGATAGACGTGGAAGTCCATTTTCAAAATATCTCGTTTAATGATTTAAGTTGTTCCATTTTGACTGCTGCAGTACGAAAACCCCCTGGTTAGCTCTGCTTATGGTTTCTTACTGATACCTTAATAATGAACCCTTACAGCATCTTAATGTAATTCTAACCCCTTAATCAATAAATTTTGTTGTAATAACAGTAATGCTCATTAGCAGTTATATAATTTCTTTAATCTACCAGGATATTTGCATTCCTCATGTAGATATGTCTTCTATCAGCCTCTAAATCTACTGGACGAAGTATGGCAGAAAACTTAGGTGACATGTCTGTATTTACAGAAGTTACGGGGTTTCAACAATGGGTTGAAACTCTTGAACTACTGGTTTTCAGCACTCCTGCAGTATGTCGTTAAAACTGTTTGCACACTGCCATTCCTGAAGTCTTTCCCGAGTTTTGTTCTGCGTATGTGTCTGATTTCCCCGCAGCAGATTTTTCTTGACATCTGCTGTCAAGATAACTGTAGCTAGATTGAGGTGGAAAATGCACTGGCTCTTCAAGTGTCCTGAAGACAGTGTTTCAGTGTTTCAGTGTTTACTGAAAACTGCTGCTACAGACAGACCCAGCAGGGCAATAAAAAGCAACCAACCAACCCTCATAAATTTGTATTACAACTGGATAAAACTTTTAATTAAGAATTTTCTACAGAAACTGAGTTTTCTGCCAAATTAAAATTTTCAACAGGGCAGTGTTTATTTTTTTTAACTTTTAAGGAGAGGTAGTTTAAAAATGTTGGTTTTTAAAAGAGTTTTCCATTACTCCTTGCATGAATCTAAGTCACTGTGCTGGTTTATTAGACTATAGGAGATATGATTTGGATAACTCATGTCTTCATGTTTCCGTGTTACCAATGTTCAACAGGCAGACTGTACCTCTCACATGTATTGAGAGGTGGAGGGATAGATCTTCTCTGGTAGAGGGATAGATAGCCCAAAACACAGCATAGAAGACATTTTTCAAAACTACAATTTGGAACTGAAAACTTTTAGAATTCATCTTCCCTCAGAAAAATCTTCCTGTATCAATTTTTTGCCCCAGTTTCAGGGAAAAATGAGTATTGAAATAATTAATTTATTCAAAAATATAAAGTTAATTTTTTGCCAGCTTAGACTTGCATATAAAATTATCAAATAATTCAGAATTTTTTCAGGATTTTTTTTTGTTTATTTAAATAAAAGAAGAAAAACATCCCTGGGAATCTTGGAATAAAGTACAGAGTATTTTACATATTTCGTCTTTGTAATATGGACTGGGAGTCATGGAATCATACAATAACATGATGTAGCACCTGATATGGTTTGAAGCTGGCTCCCTGCCAAGTCCCAAAACCTCACCACAAGACTTCCCCCCCCCAAACCAAGGGAGAAGAGGGAAAAAAAAACCCAAGAGAATTGAAACGAGAGAGAGACAGCTAAAACAATATGTATAAATATATTTACACTTATATTACACTTATATACAATTGAAATACATATACAATTTCAAAAGGGAAAGGGAAGGGGGAAGGGAAAAAAGGAACAAAACCAAAATAAAAAATATATATCTATCCCGATCAATAGCCCAAGATCTAGCAACTAAAAGAATTAGCAAGAGAATATCTTACTACTCTCCTTGTGACTACAGAAAAGTCGCGCTGGAACGAGTGCCAGCAACCTCCGTCTCCGAAGGTTGGCAAGGCCTTACCAGGCCTCACTCCCCAACCCGACAGACTCAACAGCAGGGAACCTGCACCTCCAAACCTGCCGGAAAGAAAGAGAGCGAAGGCCTCTCCTCCTTTCTTCTTATAGCCTGGCTTACGTAAAAATCGTAGGGAATACTGAGTAAATCTGGACACTTCCTCGGTTACGAACTGGTCACCAAGGAAGGCCTAGACTAAACTACCACAAGCACCTTTAACAATTTTTGCACAAAATGCATGCTTTATGTCTACCATACTTAGCAGCAACACAGGCTTAATATTCTTAACCTGCTGCAAGCCATGCAGACAGTTCATTAACACTGTTGCTTGTATGAAGCATGCCTGTATTTTGTTCTTTATTACAGTTTTTGCTGTCAGCAGCTCTGAAGACAGACATTTTTGTAAATAAAAATGTGGGAAAGACCTCTGGGATCGTTTTGGAAAGACCTTTCTTGCATTACCAAAAGAATTGAACGTGACCTGGCAATGCGCACTTGCAGCCCAGAAAGCCAGTCTTATCCTTGGCTCCATCAAAAGAAGTGTGGCCATCAGGTCAAGGGAGGTGCTTCTGCCCCTTTACTCTTATTCTCTTGTCATCCCACCTGGAGTACTTTGTCCAGCTCTGGGGCTCCAGTACAAGAAAGACATGGACCTATTAGAGCAGGTCTAGTGCAGAGTTACAAAAGTGATCAGTGGGCTGAAGCACTTCTCCTATGAGGACAGGCTGAGAAAGTTGGAATTGTTCAGTCTAGAGAAGAGAAAACTCCAGAGAAGCCTTTCAGTATTTGTGCCTATTACATATGTGAACTAGCTCTGCCAAAACAGCGGCATCAGCAAAGTACTGCTAAGGGCTCATAAGAAAGATGGAGAGAGACTTTTTACCAAGGCCTTTAATGACAGGAGAAAGGTCAACAGTTTTAAACTGAAAGTGATTTGATATAAGGAAGAAATGTTTTATGGCAAGGGCTGAGAGATGCTGGACCAGGTTGCCCAGAGAAGTTGTGGATACCCCACTATTGGAAGAGTTCAAGGTCAGGTTGGATAAAGGTTTCAACAACCCAGTCTAGTGAAAAGTGTCCCTACCCGTGGCATGGGTTTGGAATTAGATGATCTTTAATGTCCCTTTCAACCCAAATAATTCCTTAATTCTATGATTCTCTGGAATGTTCCCAAATGCCCAGTTGCATCTGAACTTTGGTTTGGTTTTGCTCCTTTCATTGGATGAAGAAACCCAGGCTGTCATTTATTGGAAGTTAAAGAAGGTATTATCTGAAAGATACATAAATTCTTTTCTGTCATCAGAATTAGTTTGGAATTGATAGAAACGTAAACAAGAACCTGAACTGTTCTGCCATAAACACACCCAATTCTATATTCCATTCCAATGTAGAATTTAATTAGAACTGTGCCTTTATGCTAATCTATGTGGACCTAACTTCTTTTTTTTTTTTTCTGTAACCTTTGGATTCAATTGAAATGGCATCTGTTAAATTCCTCAACTACATTCAGTGCTTTTGTGAGAGTCTACAAGGAGACTTTTGTTTGTCTAAAAGGAGTTAAAATCATCTCTATATGTTTGGAACCTTGAAATTTTAGTGAGAATGCCAGCCTTTCTGATTTTGGCATTCTCTAGAGCAAAGCAAGTGATTTTAGCAACATAATCATATTTATCTCTTGTCAGCTCCATGTGGTTTCCTTGGTCTGTATCTGGGATATTAATTTTTAACAGAATTATTTCATCCTCAACCAGGGAGATTTGCAGTGTCAGCATCTTCTAGTTCACACTCCAGTACTGTAATTCACAATCTAAGCAGGAAAGATGAATGGTGGCATAAGGACAAATAATAGAAAACCAAAAGACTGAGATAACAGAAATAAGCACATAGATAAAAGGTGTACATAATGACTCAAGAATGAGAATGTGAATAAGGGAATCAGATAATTTCCCCCAGATTTGCATTAATAACAGGCAGAGATTGATATACTGTGCCAATTGCTGTAAAATGCAAGAGGGGAAGTTCAGTAAGATGACTGTTGCTTTTAGGTCTGAGTCAAAAAAACTCAGAAATATAAGTGCTTAATTCTTAACTAAGGAATTACTATAAGTTAAAAGTGCCCTTGAATACTTTGCTGATGAGCAAACTCCAATGTATAATGGTCCTAAATTTGTAGATATTTTGTTCTTCATCTTACAGCAGTTTTCTTAAGTATTATTATTTGAGCCTTCTATTATGTGTTAAAGCTAGTATTTGTTGAAATCAGTCTCTGTGCAATTTAGCAAGGTAATATACACAGTTAATGACCATCATCTATCTCATACTGAAATTCTTTATTTCTTTACTGGATAATCTCTGTAATTAATGCAGCTTAATGAAATGAAATAAATATGAAAGGTATGGTCAGCTCATCAGTGAATGTAAATCAGAGCAGTCCACTTTACCTGTGAGCTCATGCCTATTTACAGCATTCCACGATCTTCTGCAGAGGTTCAGTACTACATACTTGAATGTTAAATTCTTGATATTCTTTTTGCTCTCATTTGACTCATAAAGCTAACACGTAGCTGTAGTTAAATTAATATGTTCAAAATGCATTGTATATCAATTAAGTGAAGTTTTCTTTTGAAAATGACAATTCCAAATAGAACTACACTCAAATAGAGCTATACCCAACTATTTATTTAGTATTTTATTTGACAACTACTTTTAGTAGTGAATCAGTCAGAAACATATGCTGTTCTGTTATGATCTCTTGCTTTTGGTTACTTATCTACTTCATTAATTAATTTTAAAAGTAATTACTGAAAAATTATGATCAACTTGCAGTGATGTGCTAAATTTTGCAATTTAAAAAAATTTTACTCTTTGTGATGGTCCAGAAATAGGTGGTTTAGTATCGGATTGATTAGGTGAAAGCTTTCAGAATGGCACTTATGAATTTAGAAGCCTATGTTCAGCCTTAACCTGTTTTGATCAAATTTGATTTGCTGTTTATTTTCAACTTACATGACCCTGAAAATGTAAGGAGTTCACTTAAAGGAGGGCCAGGTGAGGTGAAACCGTGAGTTGTTTAAATTTGTAAATCCAAGGAACTGTGCTGCTCTCCTTAGCTGACTGTCTGATCCAGTGTTTGTGGCTTCTGGTTACATCTGTCTTTTTGTAAAGCAAGTCTGTATATGGAAATCTTGACATGAATACCTGGTGTTACATTTTGCTTTGTTCCAATTAATTAAATCTACTTATAAATTATTTCTGATTTTATATGTTCCTAACATGATTATATATTGCGGCTTGGTCTTACCTTGTATTGTATAGCTATGTGTATAAGGAATTTTTATCCAGTTTCCTAATAGTAGTCCAGTCATCTGTCAATGGAAATGTATCTTTATATTCACTTTTTGTGAAGCCCTGCATAGATGACAGTAGGCCTGTAATGCTTGTTTGTTGTAATGCCTGTAACAATTGTTTTAAAATCTGTTTGATTGATTGTTTATTCAGTTTTGGTTTTATTCACTTTTCTGATGTGAATGCTGAGGACACTCTGCAGTCTGTATCACCTGAGTCAGCTGAAAAACTTCTGCTCTGTAGTGACTGATAAGAAAAGGTCACTGTTTTCCCAAAATTATTAGGTTGCTTCCAAAGAACTTAGTTGTACCAGGGTACTGTGGTTCAGCAAACTGCACTTAATTAAAGTATACACTTTAAATATACACTTTCTCATACCAGTACATTTAATCATACACCTGCAGGTAAGTGTTCTGCTGTAACAGGCTACAGCAGCCAGCATGCAGCACAATTTATTTTCAAAACAAAAAAGTTATTTCAGTACCTAATTGCTAGTAAAATACTAAGTTTTCCCTTACTTTCTCTGGCATCCACATGAACGTAGGGGCCAGATGTCATGCATTTTGCTACTCTTTACATGCTGCATCTTGTACTTGGACATGTCCTTTCGTTGGCGCCCTGCTGCATCATTTTGTCTCAATACTTGTTCTTAATTGTAATTAATAAACCCATGGAAATACTGTAGTTCCTGGGATATTGTTTACCTCAGACATGTTATGGTTTTGTTAAGATACTGAGTGTAGGTTTCTAAAACAGAAAGGTTAGAACACAGTTAAAAAGATAGTTAGCTGAAAATTTCAAAACATTGTAAAAATTATTGCATCTTAAACTTTGAACTTATTTGTAAGATTGCATTGACTTGAAGGTGTTCAACTGAGCTTCTAGAATTATTGACTATTACCAGTTTGAAAGTAAATGATTCCCAATGGGACCTCTTTCAAGTCTGGAATGGATCCAAGATGAAGCCCTCTGACAGTGTATACACATAAATCCTTAATCTCATCGAGCAAGTTATTTTAGGGGAGCCTACCAGATTAGTAATGGGATGCCTTGCAATTCCATTAATGAAATCCTGTCAGAATAAATTGATGAATAACATACTGATATTTTAGGCTTTTTTATTGCAGTGTAATGCAGTTGTTTAAGAACTCATTGCACAAACCATTTTAGGTGGTGTTGATGTTAAATAGTAACCCATGCAGTTACTATGTTACTTCATCTTTCATTTTAACAGTAGTATTGATTTGGTGAAAAGCAGAATTTATAAAACTGTTTTCTGATAAAGTTGCCTGTATATGTCCTACTAACACAAGAACTGTGTGAGTTCTGTACAAGATTGGCTTAAAGGGACTTGTGCTTTGATTTGAGATTTTGATAAATATTAATTTTGATTTGTAATTGACTTTCTGTCCAAAATGTTATAGCAAAAGCCTATTTGGACTATATCAGTCTGAAATGAGCTTAAATACCTCGTGCAGAAGTGCATCATTTGTGTATCTACCTATACTACTTTGTATTTATTAATATAATTTAATATTTAGACTTGTAAAGGGAACAAAAATGCAGTGTAGTCAACATCATTAAAGAAGATTGTGATTTTTTGTTTTGATTTGGGTTTTTTGTTTGTTTTTTGGGGTTTTTTTTGTGTGGGGGAGTTTTTTTTGTTTCATTTTTTGTTTTGTTTGTTTGGTTGGGGTTCTTTGTGAGTTTCTCCTCATCCTTCTTCACTATGGGTTTCTCCTTCAGTCAGAGGAACTTTTTTCTAGGAAGCACTTCTCTGGTTGGAAGATGAATCCTCATCTGCTTTAGTAAGAAACATTTGTTTTAAACCAAAGCATGTCAGCTTATACCACCTACATTCTCAGAGGCAGCTTCACTTTGCTACTTCACACTTTTACCTTTAGGATCTTAGTGTTTCAAAAGTTTAGCCTGGAGAAGAGGAGGCTCAGGGGAGACCTCATCACTCTCTGCAACTCCCTGAAAGGAGGTTGTAGCTGGGGGGGCATCAGTCTCTTCTCCCAGGCAACTATCAGTAAGACAAGAGGGCATGGTCATAAG